AGTAACAAGGGGCTGGGATAACAAGAAACCTAAAAGTCATGCATGTTAAGTGAACAGTGAATATATTTAGGTTAGAAATCAGAAGGATGATTCCAATATGGCAAAGGAGCAGCTTCCCAGTAACTAAAGAAAAAAAAGCCTAATTCCACTTAAAAATCAGAATATGAAAGAAGTTGTATGGCACAGCTATTGTAAATAAGGCTGGACAGCCCCCCCGGACCAATGGGTCTCATTCCCTGCAAGTGTAGTACTGGAGTTGGATACTTCTGTGGACCATGTTATCCTTTCATTATATTGTGCAGTCCCTCTGAAATTACTGAAGCTTCTGCTTACATTTCTGAGGGCAGATCTGGGCAATTTGCCTTTAGCCTCATACCACTGAATACACTTCCTTTTCTCCCTCCCTGCCCACAACTTGAAAAATTAAGCTGGGAACATAAATCTCTATTTCAGATTTCCTTGGTTTATGCAGACTAAGCCAAGACACTCCCAGCCCCTCTCAAACATCTATAGCAACGAACCCATTTTGGAGCAATTTCTTCTCCCATGAAAGACACTATCTAATGACATGGATATGCATTTTCTCTCCATATTAAGTCGATTTCATAATCTAAACTAGAGCAAGACTTTGATTGCTTCTGTATTCTTCAGGCTGCTGTGGGTCCTCAGAAGACAACCAAAGTGGTGAAATGAATTTGGAACACTGGATTTTCCTCAAAAGCTTTCTCACAGAAAGCTTTAGTGATCCTTCCACTAGAGTCTGCTCACCAGACAGTTGCCATTAATTACTGCATGGGAATATTTGGCCAGATGTACACAAGGCACAAATCATGCGTTAGGGATTCAGTTGGTTTAGAACTATGGCAGAAGGAGTCGGCTTTCTCCTTTCTGTCTTTTATGTATTATTTCAAATTCCTATGGCATTTTTACAGGCCTGGCTGTAGACAGAAGCAGGTAGGACTCAGTAGTGAAGCTGAGGAAGGACAAGTCACCTACTTCACTTAAATTCAGTTTTTAAGTGGAGCTTTGCCAAAACTATGAGCCTCTCCCTGCTACACTGCACGCTACCAACCTAGAGGCTGTAGCAAGTTTAAACCCACCATTAAACTTGTGTCTAAATGTAAGCCTGTATTTCATGGTCTAGAAGAAAATTAATTTGATGATTAAGAGAAAAATAGAGTTACAGCCTTGTTGGCAAAAGCAGTAGTAGAACCAGCTGCCAGTCCTCTTGGAATGAGGAGGCATATTGCAATAAGAACCACATTTTCTGTAAGAAATCTCAGAGAACATTGCTAGCAAGTTGTCTCTAACATCTCAGATTTATAGCACGGACTGGCTCAGAACCACTGCAATTTCAGAGCTTCCTTGCAACAAAACTGTTATTAAAGTTTGAAACTCTGGCCAAGGCTTTTATTCCTATAACAGTTTATTATCTCCCTCTTTTCTAGTGCTAAAAGTCCAACAATACAATAGTCTCCCTAGGTTATATGTAAAAACATATACAATAACAGTTCAGAGCTACAGCATCCACCTTCCAGTAAAGCACTTTCTGTGCAAGCCACTGGGGGCATGTGGGTCCCGAGGTCAGAAAAAACACATCATTTCGTTCCATCTTCTCTTCTGACATCAAAAGAGTTCAACAGATAAGAAAGGAAAAAACCCCATGTGCCCTAACATGTCCATAGGTAAAATCATGCATTTATGTGGATGTGGTGGGAAACAGTAATGCAATGAAGTTAGAAGAAATAAATCCAGGAAATTTTCCCTCTCACACCTTATAAGTTATGATGCACAAAACGTGTGTACACTACTGTTTGCAGAGAACAGCTCAACTAGACACAGTTGAGCTGGTTTTAAAATGAATTAGTGATGGTGAAACAGCACAGCTTGCAGAAGCCGCCAAGAAAGTAAGTTAATTTTCAGTTTATTAGGATAGAGACTTCTCACTGAGTCCGGCTCCTTTCCCTCCAGAGAAATGAAACATTCTCCTAGGAGCAAAAGAACTCGGATCCAAAGGAGGAACTGCACTGTGGCTTTCCCAGTCTCCCAGCTAATCAGTTCTGCCCAAAAAGTCTTCACTTTATATATTGATATATAGAAGAAATCCCCTTGTAAAGAAAAGGAGCTTAAAGGTTCATCTTTGCCTTAACAATAAAAATAAGAAGCCACTTCACAAACCATTTCAGTCACATGGGTTAAATGGAACCAGCTGTACATGTAGCCATCGTGCAAACAAAACTGTCATTAAAAAGAAGTAATTTCTTGGTGGCGCTGAAAAGTGGATAGGACACTACAACTTATCACAAAGGGACAGGGAAGAAGGTTAGAAAGGACAGTTCAGTCATTTATTCTGACTCACTGGATATTGACAGCAATTCAGTTTAACCCTTTCACACCTATATTGAGGCTGATCAGTGCTACCTGGGAGAAGCACAAGATACAGGAAGGCAATTCCTAAACAGTGGTGTCTCAAGAATTTCTAACAGCTGCTGCCTGCTGCACTGACTGAACTCAAGTCTCTGAATTAAGTCCTGTGAAATTCAGTATTTGCCCCAAGAAACATGTCTGGGATTATCCCATAGACTCCACAAGCACAGGATACATGCAGCTTCAAAAGACAGCTCCCTGATGACTGAAGGAGGAGCAGGTATTACAGGACTTTTGAGTCTCTGCAAACAATATAGATATCATATCCTTTCACTGTATTACTCTACAGGCTCCAATAAATCTACAGAATTCAGTTTACCACAAGGCTACTGTTTTTCAGAGTGACTGACCCAATAACTGCTATTTATTCGTGGAGACAAGCTCCATTAAAAAAAAAAAAAAAAAGGAAAAAATCCACATTATTCCCCCTCATCACCACAAAGATGACATCTTGCTGCCAATCTGCCTGCCAGGAAACCATCTGGAAACAATACCAATACCACAATCTATAGGCATCCCTCCAATGCATTAATCAGGTCATCAGAGTTCAATAACTGACAGCATCTTTAAGAACTGGAAAGGATAAAGCTGTGGTAATAAGGCACAGTCAAGATCAATCCCCAGGGCCTAGTTAGTTCTTCCTCTCCTTTGTTTTTTTCCTTTTAAACAAAAAAACAACAAAAAACCCACAAAACAACATAAACAAAAAAACAACAAAAAAAACCCCACAAAACAACATACAGCATTAGCATTGTTCCCCAGTGTTTGGTTTTAAATTTACCATTTCAGAGAACTTCGAAGTGCAAGCAAGGCCTCTCAGTTTGACACATACACGCGTAATGGAAAATGTCTACTGTCTCACTGAAGTAAATGCAAGTCCTCTCACACATAAGCCAGGAAGTCACAGACTTCTGCCTTGACAGTAGAGTTATCCACATAAATCCTTAAAAGGGCATTGAAAAAGTCTGAAGAGAATTATAGGGGGCACGACAATGATTTGGAGAATGGGAAAAATATATTAAAAACATAAACATATATGTCTATGTTTATTGTAGCCAAAAATTGTACAGAGTTCAGCTTCAGATGGTTACAAGTTTTCTTATCTCACAGAGCAGAAGTACTTTCAGAGGGAGACTAGCACTACCAGATGCTAAACTTATCTCCAAGCAAGACATACCAAAACCCAGGGGCTAGAAACTGAAGCTGCAGAAATCTAAAGTTGAGAGTGCCCTGTTTCTAAAGCATAAGAATTAACAAATCAGAAAAGAGTGCTGTGTGCAATTTTGGTCTCCTATCTTTCTTTCCTAAACTAAAAAACAGGTGTTTTTCTGGGAGATAATGTTTTAACACCACAAGATATTGAATGTGTTACAAGACCAATGAAGAGACACATACTTCTGAAAAGCAGAGAGCAAGAGCAGAAGCACAGCAAATCCCCCTAGATTAAAGAAACATAGAAATCACAACTATTCTGTTCTATCAGTTCAGTACAACTCTCCGTAACATATATATATAAAAATAAAACACTGCCTGGAAGTAAGCAACTGTTCATTATCATGGTCAAAACTCTTTGTGGGCAGTAACAAGGTCTTCCTTGGTGTTTACACAGCAGCTGGTACAACACAACTCACAGTTATTTGTTGTACTATGTAACTCCATAATACAAAAGGGAGCACTCCGCTCTTCTGAGTTTAAGCTGAGCACTGAACCTAAACTCAGGTTTTGTTTTCACAAATTGAGATTCAAGATTTATCAAACAGTTCAAAACTTTTTATTTTTCTAGTGAGCTCATTCTTTCTGCTTCCTGAAGTTTTTCTGTCCCCTGTAAGCCTGAAAACTTCGTGGAACAGTTTTCCTATGAAGCATGTTCAGGTTCTCTCATTTGAAGATGGAAAAGACTGAATAACTTTGTTACCAGGAAGGGGCAAGGTGCAGGGAATCCAGGTAATAAATTCAAAGGGTGTTTTTTAATCTTATTTATTTTTCAGGCTACCAACTTCCAAAGGTAGCTAGTAATGGCTTTGTGTCCAGCTTATCAGCATCTAAAAACCTTCTTGGTCTGCAGATGTGGTGGAACAGCTATCAATAGCAAGTCAGAGTTAGCCACTAAAAACTTATTACATTGAGTCTCTCATTGTGGAAGAAATTAATATTTTGTCTTTCTGCTAAATCAGTTACATATTTTTGAGCTAATTAACCCATTTGAGGCAACATAACTAATATTAATGCAAGTACAGGACAAAAATCTTACATTAGAGACTTACAGATAACTGGGCTAAAAAAATTCACCACAAAATAATTCTCCAATGAACTCCAGCAATTCTACATATAAACCATGCAGTTTAAAGGCAAGAACTTAAATATTTGATAATTCCTAAACATTCTCATGGGCACACTTGCATTTATAAGTTTTATTTTTTTCCCAGTGCATTAAGCTAATGCTAGACTAAGCTGACATGACAGGTAATGCAAGTGTATTCACAAGTTTTATTCAGTGAACTCCTAAGTTGATTTCAGTTAGAATAAGACAACTTTGCATTCAGACGTAGAATCAGAAAATTCACATTGCTTACCTTTGTTTCAGGCCTTAACAGAAGTCCTTTCCAACTCCTTTCCCTCTGATACTTCTTTTCAAAGTGTTTGAAACCTAGTGATGAAAGTGGTAAAGTTTGACCATAACATTTGAAAAGCATTCTAGTAGAAATACTGCAGATAAATCACATTAATGCATTTTACAGTTAGAAAAACATAAATTAATAAGTTGTTGAAATAATCAATACCTAAATATCAGAAAAGGAAAATCTAGCTGGAGTAGCTACATAAACTTACTAGTCTAACTGTAAAGTAGAAAACAATATCTAGATAACAACCCAAATCCTTCTGAAACCTGGCACTGAGAAAAATTCCACAGCTAAATACCTCCACAGAAGCCTGTGATCACAGAAGATCCTGACAGCTGCTGAAATTTCATTTGGTAAGAAATCACTCAAGAGAATGGATTAGTCAGATATGGGACAGTAAGAGGTCTTCTGTGTTGTGAAGTCCAGTTCCTCTTTACACACACAACTGTTTCACTTAACATAATTTCCCTTGCATGTATTACAATGAAGTGATGAGGTACAGGTTTTCACCACAGATGTTATTTCAGTCAGCTTTGATGAAGAAATTGCTCTGGACAATTTCACTTTCATTTTTCTGCAGTAACTTTTAAAGTATACAACTCTAGTTCGCTATTTAGCTCCTCATATGATGGGGAACTCCTGCAACTCATCAGTAAAGTCATCACACAGAGACAGTGTGTACATTTCCAACAGCTTTCTGGTCCAGGCAGATATGTAGTAGGCTTGAATCCAAAAGCTTAAACAACAAAGCACAGACATACAGCTAGATTTGAAGCGAGATTGATCCAATACTCACAGGTTAAATAAAGGCTCAAACTGACAAGCTCTGGAAATTCAAGTGTTTCTATTTACAGAATACAAGGTGACTGCTACAGCAGGGGACTGGGAGCGGCCCAGAAAAAAAAACAACAATCAAACACGCCAGTCCTGTGTTCCTAATAACAAGAATATATGTGACTTTAATGATATAGTCCAAAGAGCACAAAGTTCTCGGTTTATTCAGCTATCTAGGTGTTATTGGTTAGTATTACCTTCAACTAGCTAAGCAATAATTATCAACAATAACTTGCTTGCATATCTTTCAATGCTGGATTGCATCTCTAAAAGCCCTTCAAAGAGCATCTGTAGAGAATAAACTTCTGTACTGCTCCTTCAAATGCATGCACATGTTTTATGGAAGGACAATCTTCCAGCAACTGCACAGAAATGAATGTAAACACACTTCAGCTCTTGTAAACATGTCCACAGAGACCTCTCATATAACCACAGAGTATTCCCCTTCAGGTTTTTTCTACGTCTGCAAAACAGGAAAAGCAAGGCTATCTTCCTCCTGTATGTTTTAAGTGCAGGGGTTTTGAATTTTACGAAATCCTGAGCTAGAATATGTATAAGTGCAAAGTTTTAATCATCACTGCATATACTGTGCTTATGCAAAAAGTAGTAATATATGTAGCTCCATTAAGCACCCAGAATAGCTTCATGCCAGCTTATGCCTCTCAATTTTAATAGACAGCTTCCAGAGTATTACAATACTAATAGGTGCCATATATCAAGATGAGGACATTCAGAAATACTCAGTATTTGCCCACATGGAAAAGAAAGGGACAATATAGTATCAGTTGTTATTCTAGATCTGTATGTAACCCTCCAGTGGAAAAGAGACTTCTAAGAATAAGGTACAATCCAAACCAGAGAAGGCTATAAAGGCTACCTGTTAGGTAACACAAAGAATGGCACTGATACTAAGGGTCACCAAACAAAACCAGTGTACAGATACTCAATTTTAAGAAAGGGAACTATATAAGGTCATGGCAAGAAAGAAAGAGGACACTAAGAAGGAACAGTTCAAAAAGCAAGAAGCCTCAGGGAGAGTTGGGAGACTATTGCAGGGCACAGCTCAGCTCTTAGAAAGTGTATTGCTTAAGTAAAGACAGGGAAGCCCATAAACCGTGGCAAGTCAAATGTAAGCAGGAAATTAAGGGAGCTAAAAGACAATCCAAAAAGTCCCTGCAAACAAAGATCATGGTGCTAGTAAACAGCTCTTTAAATACATCAACAACAGGAAGCCAGCTAGGAAAGCAGTTGTACTGCTGGATGACGAAGGTGTGAAAGGGGCAGACATAGATGATAAAGCTGTAGCAGAGAAGCTCAGTGACTTATTTGCATCAGTGCTCACTACTGAAATCTTTGGGGAGATTTCCACACCCATTGCACTCTTTGTTGAAAATCTGGCAGAGGAGCCACATCAATCTGAAGTAAATTCAGGAAATACTAGACCAAACAAGGAAGTTAGATGTTAATAAATCAGTGGGACAGAACAATGTTCACAAAAGTTCTGAAAAAAACAAAATGTGACTTTGAAGAACCACTAGCCAAGGTGTATAAGCCAGCATTTTAGAGAGTCTCTGTACTGAAGGACTCACCGGTCCTGCCTGCGTAACTCCCAGCTACAGAAAGGGCTATGTAGGGCAACCAGGAACCACACTCTGACAAGTCCAACTTCATTCACAGTTAGAGTAAGCACATTAGAAAGAGTAACAAGCAAAGGATAGAGCTTAACAAGCGCTTTTTAAGATGGACAGGAATCAGTAGTGCAGTCCTTGGGATCAGTGCTGGCACTGGTGTTACTCGGCACATTCATTAATGACAAAACTGATTGGGGAAAAAAAAATGGGCAGGTAGGCTTTAGTGCAGATAAATTTCAAGTAATTCATCTAGGCAATACCAGCTCTCACTGTTCCTACTCAACAGCTGGAGCCATCCTTAACAGTTCTCTGAAGTCACTGTCTCAGTGTTCAGCAGCAGTCAAAAAACCCAACAGAATACAGGAATATTGTTTTAGAGGTCTGCTTTCTGCCAACATGCTGATTGCTATCTTTTAGTATCTAATGATAATTGTCCATAAACAATGCAATAAAATAAAATAAAATATACACACGGCTGGTACTCTTCCTCCTGTGCAGCTTGTGGATTAATTTTGTTATTTTATCTGTACTCTAACCCCAGCAAAGGAGCAAGTTGATAGAGAGCAAACATGTTCATTACCTCTTGTGGCAGGGGTAGGAGTGGGACAGGAACACATACAAACAACAAAGAACAAGAAATAAAACAATTTGGACCAGTTACAGGTGTCAGAGCTTTTCTTTTAACACCCTTCACCCTGAAAGCACTTTTTACATCTTTATACTTAGTACAGACATCCATAAGCAATTATTTTACCAACCCAGGTAAACCAAAATTTTAATTTAATTTTTAGTTCATCACAAAGTTGCACTTCAGAAGCATTTGTTAAATGAACACTGTCTTTGAAGACAGCAAGTTATTTATATCTCAAAAACATTTAATCAGCAAAGCTGTATTTCCTGTCTTATAAGTGAAATATAAGCTTGGATAGAAGAAAAAAAAAATACCTCACAAGAAGTGCAATTAGAGCAAGTTTGTTTTCAAGACAATAAATCCCTTGTTTTGAGGTTCGATTTAGTTCATTAGCTTGTAATTCACAGTTTTCAAAGGAAAATATTTTCGTTTGGTTCTTGGGGAAAAAAATTCTATGCTACTTTGATCAAAAATTAACAAGGTTTGACAAAGTTAACTCTTATGCCTGCTCCCGACAGTCCGTCTCAAAACCTTGTGCTTGTAATAAAACTGGCTAGAAAGGAACTAGCACTAGAAAGCTACATAGTGAAAATTCCGTTCAGCACAGAACACATAACAGGCATGAACAGACGTGAAACACTATGTGTTTTTCTCCGCCTTAATTTGGTAAGAAGTAGGCTATGTTACTACAGTTCCCTACACCAATATTGATAACCATATATTGCTACTGTAACATACAGGTACCTGTCACATATAGGATCTTGCACAGTGCTCAATTACAGCAAGTTCAAAGCAGGTTACCTCAGAAGTCAAGTACAATATAATAAAGCAGCCTAAACAATATAACATCAAGTACTGAAACATATTTACACATTTATGTTTACTTTTACCATCTCAGACAAAGCAAAAAGGATAAAGTGGTGAAAAGTTTGCAGTTAGAGGATACTACATTAAGTCTAAGGGCACAATCATGTATGTAGAGAAAGGAGTAAGATCAACACTATTTTACCTGGAAAATTATTTCAATATCTCTGACTTTCTGTCCTTGCCATTGGGATGCCGTGCAAGTTGTTAACTTTTGCAGCCACATTTTCTGTATATCATGGTGGTTCAGTCAGGAACTGAGCCCTCACTTCTGCTCAGGCTAACCAGGCCTACCGATTTGGTCTCCATGTCTCAATGACCACACCTATAGCTTGGAAATACCTCAGAGAAGGAACATAACTTTGTGTGTCAGAGAAGAGCTAAATAGGTTGAATGAGAACTAAGTACTTCATTAATCACCTAAGATGAACTACATAGTGGCACAATTTCAGGTAAAATGAAGGAGTGATATTTCTGCTGACTCGTTTAGAAGCATTTGAAGAAAACCCATATAAATCAGCCTTTTAAGCAGCCACATTGACTTTTACTCTGTATGAGTTGTGCTTAATTGATCAGTAAATAGCCCAGCACCTATGTTCAGGTTGACTTAAGTGTGCAACTTGAGCAAAATTCCCCATCAGTTGTCATAAAGCTTTGGTCTCACAGGTCAGGGCTGAGGCAAAATGGAGGGAGTGCCTTGGAGCCTGCCTGGTCAGAGTTGAGGCCAGCAACGTCTGCAGGCCACGGCACAGCTCCTGCCTCCTCACCAGCCCCTCAGCCTGAGGGGATTCCCTCATGGATACTCACTGCCATCCCACAACCATGCTTTTATCCGCATTTCTCACAGAATGACACTAAGTGGCACAAGTGACAGGCTGCAGAGCCAGGCGGCCGAGAGCCACCCTGAGACGGTCCCAGCCTGTTCCCACCAGCTCTGGCACTGAGGGGACCCCGGGGGGAAATCCACCACACACCAGAGCCTGGCTGTTGCCCCAAAACATCGCCAGAGAAGCATCTGGATAAAGGTGTCAGGGGCACAAAATGGCGGCTGCTGAGGGCGGGAAAC